TTTTTTTTTTTTTTGGGGGGGGGGGGTGGTGATGGGGTGGAATGGCCAGATAATAAATTGACTCATTTTAACTTCTATGTGGCAGAATTCATAATTACATAGATCTATCCTAAATCCTCAAATTTATTACACTGGGTATGATTTTATATATATTATGGCTTTTTAAACTATTCAATACCAATAACATTTATTGAGCACTTCTATAGTAAATACATACATTATGTAGTTTAATTCTCAGTTAAATTTGGGATGCTGGCTAGCTCAGTAATGTCTTGCTTTACTAAATTATAAACATGGTAGCTTTATTTATTACTTTATTATAATAGTAATACTTCCCATTATTTAAAAATTTGGTAATAAAAAAAGTTTAAGAAATAAAATTAAAATCACTAATAACCCTACTACCCAGAGAGAATTGCTGCTAATATTTTGGTCTATTTCTAGATTTACATCTTAACAATTACTGTTAAATGAATCCATTATAAAGATAGGAGGTTTTCATTGACGGACTCTAATGAATAGTGATTTAATAGGGTTGTTCCTTATTCTTAATGTTACTTGCCATTGTGAGGATATATGAAATGCAATCTCTGACCATCTTTCTGTCTTTATTTTGTAAACAGTGCATTGATTACACACAGCTGTGCTAATGCTATAGAGCATTTAAAGCAAAAATTGTATGAGAACATATTTTTCCCCAGAAGGGATAAACGTAATTGCTAATAAGTATCTATACGTAAAATAAGCATTTGGTTTTCACAAGGGAAAAGAGAAAAGTTTGTTAAACAGAAAACTAAGTCTATACAGTTGCTTTCTGTACCACTGCCTTCATGATGTGTGAACTTTGTTTCCTTTTGCTGTGTAGGAATCCAAGCCAGACCGTCTCCTTGTGTTGAAGGTACTATGGAATGATTTCTTGATCTGCTACTCCTCCCGCCCTCTGCTCTGCTGGTCTGTGTGGTGGGCCCTCTCCACCTGTGGCTATTTTCAAGTCGTGAACTACACACAGGGCCTGTGGGAGAAGGTGATGCCTTCTCGCCATGCTCCTATCTACAATGGTGGTGTGGAGGCCGTTTCAACCTTACTGGGTAAGCAGTGGAGGATGGTGTGGAGATTGGGGGTGGGTGTGTGTGGGGGGGGCAGGAAATTCCCCTCCTAGTTAAGCCAATCATAATCAGATTTACTCTCCTCTCCCAAATTTGAAGTTGCCCCAAAGAATGATTTATTTGTTTTGAGCTCTGATTTTATACTTTAGGAGGACAACTTAGAAGTTATCCTAACAAACTTGAATTCTTTATAAGCTTTAAGGAAACTTAATATAATAATTTTCAAAATTGTTTTCTTTGCTTAACCAAGTTTCTATTATCTCTGTATTTACTGGATGCTTTTGTCAGTTGATATAAAATTTTGAGTAGCAATATACCACAGTTTATAACAATGATAGCTATTATTTGTTGGTGATATGTGCTAGGTGCTATTCTAATTCCTCTGATAGGTGCAATTATTATCCCCACTGTGGGGAATGGATGTTACAATGGAAACTTGGGATGGGTAGGTTAATAAATTGCCCAAAATTATATAGATGGTAAATAGTAAAGTCAAAATTTGAACTCAGGCAGGATGGCTTCAGAGCCTGTGTCCTTGACCATCATACTCTATTGTCCCTTTCTAATTTGTTGACCTACCTCATAAGGTTGTTGGAAGGTTTTATATGATTTTTATACACACTTATAAATTTTGCCTGGCACTCAGAAAACCCACGATATATTTGAGCTATGATTATTGTCATTGTTATTTTACCAAAGGGCAGAGAAGTCCTTTTGCCGTGTTCTAAACTGCTCTTTGGTTTGAAGGAGAGGTGACTCATCCTGCCATGTTGCCAAATTTGAAGCAGTGGGGTTTTTTTGACTCTTGCCTCTGCTTCTGCCCAGTAGTGTTTTTTCCTTAACAATATTCCTGGGTCTGTGTCCTCCTTTTCTATCTCATTTCCACCTGCCCTAATTCAATCTCTCAGTGTCTCCATATTATTTATTCCATCAATTCTAAAATTCTCTGCCTGAGTTTCAAGGCCCTCCTTAATCTTGAGTTATCCTACTATAAGTTTAAAGATTTTAAAATTAAATAACCTAAGCTGAATTTTCAATTTATTAGAATAGTATTTGTTTAGCAAAATAACTAGATTACCTTTCCCTTTTTGTTTTGTAGGTGCTGTTGCCGTGTTTGCAGTTGGTTATATAAAAATATCTTGGTCAACTTGGGGAGAAACAATATTATCTCTGTTTTCTCTCCTGATTGCTGCTGCAGTGTATATCATGGACACAGTGGGTAACATTTGGGTGTGCTACGCATCTTATGTTGTCTTCAGAGTCATCTACATGTTACTCATCACGATAGCAATGTACGTATTTTGGCTGAAAGAAGCATTAAGAAAAGTTGTGACAGGATAAACTTTTTAGTTTCCTTACAAACTAAGAAATTAAATTTTCTAGTTAAAAGAGGCAAATGGGAGGAGGCTTTGTATTTTATGTGCATCACCAGTTTTTCTCTTGAGGCAGCATTTAGGCAAGTTTCGATTATTCTTTTGTTTGTATGTTCCTACTCTTTTCAGATGTTTGCATGAGATTTACATCATGTAGCAAAAAAATGTATTTCACTTGGTTGGGAAGAGAATTGAAGGGGCTACTCTTCACACTTAAAGTAAAAATTGTAACTACACAGGAAGTGCTTCTTCTCTATTCATTCTTTCTTCTTCTTTTTTTTTTTAAAGTTTTCAAATTGCTGCAAACCTCAGCATGGAGCGCTATGCCCTAGTGTTTGGTGTGAACACCTTCATTGCCTTGGCACTGCAGACTCTGCTCACTCTAATTGTGGTAGATGCCAGTGGGCTTGGCTTAGAAATTACCACCCAGGTAAGATCTCTTTCAGCCCTGACGACAGTACTAGGGTACTTCAACAAGTGCTTGGAAAAATAGAATTAAAAGATAATATAAATCTTTTCACGCACTTTTTGAAGTACCCTCGTATGACTTAATCACGGTGACAGAAGTGGAGCATGCTTAATGAAAACAAATTCAAACAATATGGACAGATCTAAAGTAAAAAGTCAAAATGTTCCCTCCTTCCTTCATTCACTGCCCCCCCCCCCAACAACCCTTTTCTACCTGGAGGATACTGGGATCATCATCTTTTCTGATGAGGCCCTAAAGCATTCCGAGTATAACTATCCAGCTCAGCGGGGCTACTTCAGCTGAGAAGTAATACTGATTCCTTCCAGGCCAAGCTCTTCTCTTTCCTCATCCATTATTTTCCTTCATTCTTAACTATATGCCTGGAGTACTATATCCTGTGTTGGAGATGATCTGCTTCAATTCACAGCTCTATAAGTCTCTCCCCTTTATTTAAAACACCCCTCCCCAAATACCAAGGTAATGACTTGCTGTTGATGAATAGCATTATGATTCTGAACATATGACCTGTTAAGAAAACACCTGCACAAACAGCCAACAACACTGTGAGTATTCATTCAGGAAGTTTTTCATTGTATATGCCTTCATATGTTGTAAATTTGTAGGTTGGGCTTGCTGTGTACTTTGGCAAAATGGGCAACTGAATCAAGAAGTACCTACCCCTCCCCAATCCCAGCCCAAATGATTTCTTCTTCATTATTTCCTCCATACATACTGCCTAATATTCTATTTTTACATATTAGATTTTTTAGAATACAAAGACCCAACAAAGTAGTAATTAACTTTGTTTTTACTGAAGAGATCGAAAAGAGAAGTAATAATAATAGGTAATGTGCATTGAGTGCCTCTGTGTGCCAGGTACTTTATGTAGAATTTACAGAGTTGTTATCGGGATTAGACATCAAGAAAATGACTGAGAGATGTTAAGTGACTTGTTAAAGGTCACACAATCAATAACAGTGTGGCAGAGCTAGGACTTAAATCATCTAACCCTAAAACCTACTATGATATGGAGAGCAGGAGAGAATCTAAGTGCCTGTCATGCTGCCTATTTGGTAAGAAAGAGTCCCCAGGACTATTATAGTTGAGGGAAATATGGCTGACATTTGAAGTAGAAGTTTGACAGCACATTCTTGTAGAAATGGTGGATTTAAACATGTGGAATAATAGGATTTTATGGGCTGTGCTGAAGCCCTAACTGCCGTGATTAATAGGCTTCCTTTAGAAATGTATCTACATTTGAAAGAAACTGGCTTAGCGATTTAAGGCCACAGTCTTATTGTACTTTTGAACCAGTTTATAAGTACTTAGTACGTTATTTTAAGAAGATGATAATGAAGATATTGATAAACTATATAGTCACATTAAAAAATTGGCTTAGAGAAGATTCTTATGAAAAGTAATCTTAAAATGTAATGTGATTGACCCCTCCTACCCTCTTCTGGGGAAGAATAGAAGTTCTTGATCTTCAGAACTTGGCCTGTTAGTCATAACCACCTGTTAGCTTGAGGAGGGAGACCATGACTCAGTTATAACAATAACAGCAACACTAATAAAAACAATAGTATTAATAGCATTAGCATTGTGCAAAGAAGCATTTACATGCATGATCTCATCGTCCCTCACAACAACCCTGTAAAGTAGGAACTATTACAAACTCCATTTTTGTAAATGAAGAAGTCAAGGCTCAGAGATTAAGTATCTCAGTCAAGATCACACGGCTAGTAAGGTATGAAGTTAGGACTCAGACTCGTGCAGTCAGTATTCAGTTCCACCATGCTGTGCTGATGCTTTGTGTTTTCAGTGCCTGGCACATAGTGTAGGCATGCAATGTTTTTGAAATTTTATTGAGGAACTCTGAATATACCTTGACTTATAGAATATGTTAACATATGTAATAAAACAACTCATCTTTTAATGGACAATTCTGTAAATTACTACTTTTCCCTCTTTTAGTTCCTCATCTATGCTGCTTATTTTGCACTCATCGCTGTGGTATTCCTGGTTAATGGTGCAGTCAGTATTGTGAAGAAATATGTAAAGCAGGAAGATACAGAATCAAGTTCTCAAGTAACCACTTCATAATACAATGCTGAAGGGCTTCTTCTTATAGCAAGAACTCTGCACAGCAACTGCCTGGGTGTATTTAATTTTTTAAGGTGTAGACATATAATTATGAATGTGCATTTCACAGTTTCAATACCTTCTGTTCCTGGAGTAACATGATACTGTTCAGAGGAGCCAGAAGTGAAGTTTATTTCCTGGATTATGTATAAGCTAATTGAAGGATGACTTTTTTTGATTCAGAAGTAAACTTGATTTTGAAATCCAAGTAATCAAGAGCAGTCAAGCAGCACATGGTGTTGTATACTTAATTAGTAAGTGTGTTTGATGTTTTATACGTCACGTACATCTGTAGCCACTTAGCCAGATGCTTGGCCTGGTGGGACCAGGGCTTCACAGAGGCCACAAGATGTTACAAAGCATGACAGAAATATGTTCTAACAGCACCTGTCTCTGTTCAACTTCATTCTTATTTCTTTGTTACTCATGTGCTTTTGTGTTTCTACAGATGAAAGTTGTTCCTATTACTGGCAATATTTGCTCCAGTTTAGTGTTCTATAAGGAGTATGTGTCATTTCTAATTCTTATTTTAAAAAATTTATTGTATGAATGTTCTTCGTTCCTATTTTGACAATTATATATTTGTGTAGATTTTCTTTACAAGTACATTTTTGCATTATTCATATGCTTCCCAGAGAAGAGCTCATTTTGTTAGAAAAGAAGGCAAGTTTTGAAGCCTGCTAATAATTTAAATGGAGAGACCTAATCAGAAAACTTTAGGTAGGTTTGATTGTCTTTAATTCTTCCATACAAAGGACTGTTAATACCATGATGAAAAATTCATGTATGGGGTAAAGATATAACTAGCCCATTTTGTATTTGCATTTCCTTTTATTTCCAAAATAAAATGAAAAAGTCCTTTTCTTTAAATAACTTCATCCCCTTTTATAGCTTTTATATTATTTTGTCTTTCTTATCCAAGATAAAGATGTCAGAAGTAGTTGTATTATTCCAAACTGAGCCTCTTTTTAATAATTTCAGTGGGACAGGAACTGGGATAGATTTGATTCCTGCATTTTATACCTTAAATCCACCTTTGTTTCTAAGGGTAGATCATCTTGAATATTTGTTTATAATAAGAATTGCTGGTGATTCCATTTCCATGTTACTTGAAGAAATGTTATTCTGTGTGTATTTAAGTCTGTCAAGGAGCTGCTAATAGTATATGTGAGACATGAAAACTATTTTAAAGCAAACTTTGTTGCCTTATCTTGAAAAGAGTGTGGGTAGGTGCTTTTAACTGGGTGTTAACTTATTTAGAATGACACGGCTAAACAGTGTTAATAATAATGTCAAGATTGCAAAATTGATATATTCTTTTGGTTTAAGCAGGAATCCTAGAAACAAATGGATGAGGATAAGAATAGGTCATTTTCCATTCACCTTCTTTTACAATTAAAGGGAAGGAAAAGAACACTAGTTAAGGAAGGGAAGGGGAAGTAATGTCATAAACGTAGCAATCTCCAATTTCATATTTTGTCTTTTTTTTTTTTTTTTTTTTTTTTTTTTTGTTTACTCAGAAACAAGTAAAAAAAAGTGGTGTTAGAGGGATTTTATTTAATCTTTTTTTTAATAAAATGGACTGCGGTACAATCAAATTGTTCATGTTACCAAAGCAATATTTCCCTGGAATTTAATTCAAAGTTTGTGGCACACAGCCTGAGCCTTTACTTACTTAAGACAAGAATATGTTCACATCTTGGTGTGTGGCCATATCTGTAGAATGCTGAACCCAATGTGCAAATTGTACTGTATGCAGTTTTGCAAAGAAGTGAAAATAATTTGTTGTACTTTTTATTCAATTCTGTGTAGATTATAAAATTATTTTTATTAAATAAATATTTTACAGTATATTTTACCTTTTTATTCAGAATTATTTTAAATTTATCTTCTGCTTTAGTAGGAGCTTTAGATTGTATCTTTAAATCTTTTAATAATCTCTCCTAGGACAAATTTCATATTAAGCCTTCCCCTCATCAAACCTTCCTAATTAACCTTTAGTCATCCTGTTAATTCTTTCATTGCTTTGTGATCTTTACCTTTGACTCTTCCCCCTTATTTTTTGTTGTTTTCCCAATTGTTTTTGGCACCATATTGCACTGTTTATTTTCTTGGTCTTCATCTCGGCACATCTCATATCTCTTTTTAAAGCACTCTCTTTAGAAACCTAAAAGACCCACAATCCCTTTGATGTTAAGTGAATTTTTTAAATAAGGGAAATTAAAGCAAGGACAGAAAGTGCCATCTTGTTTGGAAATATCATAGCTCTTCCTTCCACCCCTAAAATATTCTGATACACAGAGAAGCACAATCTTGCCATCAGTTGAGGATTATTTGTTCATTATATCCCAGAAACCACAGTATCCAAATGAATTCCTTTCCTTTAAAATCTCATTCTGAAACCCAATTAAGGCATTTCATTGATTATCACCAAAGACTTGGAAAATTTTCATGCAAAACGAATTTCTAAACATAGTTTTCTGTCCTTATAGTTACATCTCCTGTATCTTATTACCTTTCAGATCATAAGCCTTCTGAGCCAGGACCATGTCTTATTCTCATCTTTTGTTGCAAAACACATTCTAGTGCCATATGAATACTGAATTATATAAATGGTATGTGATGGACTCAACATAGCCACCTGCCAATACAATAACTAAGTGCCCATTATTAAAAAAAAAAAAAATTACATCAAGCTAAAACATTAAGATTAAAATACCTGTTCGTGATCTCTAGTCCACTGGATTCTTTATTTAAGGAATTGTTGTGCTGAAATGGCAGAAATTTGATATCTGTTTTACTTATTATGGTATCTTCTCCATAATTAATTCCTTACATTTGTTTAACATGTTATACTTCGGGAAGGACATTTGTGAACATCACCTCCTTTGATTATTGAAAAGAATCTTGTAGTAGTACTAATACCTCTACTTTTCAGTGAGTAATGCTGACAGAAGAGTTCAAAATGTTAGGTTTGCCACTCAAAGCTGTGATATGTTCGGGAAGTCACGCTATTGAGCCTCAGTTTCCTTATCTGTAAATGGGATGATACCTCACAGGATTGTTGTGAAGAAATGAGAGTACATACATGCAAGCACCTATTACATTGCAGGCACTGAGATAAGAGTTCCCTTCCCCTTACTTGCAACTATCAATTTCAAAATTGCACTCTGGGCTGGCCAGTTAGCTCAGTTGGTTACAACACAGCCTTGTAACACGAAGGTCAAGGGTTTGCATCCTGGTACCAGCCAGCTGCCAAAATTGCACTCTCAAAAGAAACTTTGAATGTTTCAATCAAAATGAAAATGATCAGAGGCTTTTTAAACCCTCCCTCGTTTTTAATTCATATTTTGGAGAGCACTCCTGGGGATACAAAGATGAAAAGGTCATGGTTTCTGTCCTCAAGGAACTTTAAATGTATGATTGGAAAAGATAAGTAGGAAGGATGACATAGGTACACAACTGCACTATAAGATAACGTTTCCGGTACCATTACAAAAGGCTTGGGTCAGATTGGGAAGAGAGCAAGGACATTGGAAAAATCAGGAGTGGCTTCCTGAAGGAGGTAGCATTTAAGTTGGCCATGCAGGATGAGTAGGAAAGGAGAACCGTGGAGTAGGGGAGAAAGAGCCATAAATAAAGGTATGAAGGCCAGAAATAGTAGGGTATATATAAGATAGGAAGCAATTGGTGAGGAATATGTGTGGAGGAGTAGAGTGAGATAAAGTCGGAAAGACAACTTAGGGTCACTTTTATAAGGTATATTAACTGGAGATGAGGATGTGCAGTAATGATTAAGCTTATCTTTAAGAAATTAAAACTGGCAGCAGTGGACAAAATGAATTTTATGGGAAGATACTACCTAAAATTAGTAGTTGAATTGCCATTACAACTGGCTAGGCGTAAGGGAGGAAGGCCTTTATGAATTCCTCATAATGAAGAAATAGAAACGGAAACAGAACTGATAAGAAGTTGCTAAATGAACATTTTCGAATGTATGCACTTATTTCAAATAGTGGCTTAGAAAGTTTAAATAAGCTGCCCAAGATCACATATCTGAAGTGGGGAAGCCGGGATTCTGATTCCCACCCTACCCTGCAAATTGATAGTCACTTCCCCGCCTGTCTCCCTGTGAAGTCTGTAAGGATAAGGCAGCAGTGGGGAGAGGGTGTAGCGAGCAGTAGACCTAACTCAGAAAACAGAGCAAGACCGCCAGACTGGCCTAGAGCGGCTGCGGCCCGGGCCTGCCGAGCGTGCTCCTGCAGCGCGTCTGCAGCCCTGTGGGGGCGGGGTGCCCGCCGGCCTCCCCCGCGCCTGCGCATCACAGCCTCGCCGGCGCGCGGGCTCGCACCCCAGGTCAGCCGCCCCGCCCCCCGGCCTGCCGGGGCTTCCACGCACGCCTTTGCCCGGGTTAGAGGCTTTCGAGCCCGGCCGGCGCAGGACGGGGAGTTGGGCTTGGGGGAGTGTAGGAAGCTCGGGCTGTGTGCTGAAGTTGACCGTTTTCTGAAACTCCTCCTTCAAAACCCACATCAAACCCCAGAGTGAAGGAAACCGTTGGCGAATGTCAGGTACTGGGAAGGGCGCCGGCTGCTGTCTATGAGGTTTTAAACGTCTTCCTGATCAGTATGGACCGCTGCAAATAACCCTCTGACATCGTTTCCTACCAGACTGAAATGTATGAATCAAAGGGAGCAAACAGCCCTTTCCAAAGGAGTGTCTTACTCTCCAGAAAAGTCGCAAGAGGAATTGCAGCAAAGAAAATTCGACCCTCTTCTCCAAATGCTGGAATGCTAACAAAAACTATTTCATACTTAAATATTTAAAAAACCCTAAGTTTGATTATCTGTTTGACATAGTTCCATATTTCCCTACTTATCCACCCCCCCCCCCCCTTTTTTGGAATACCAAACTGCCTAGCTTGATCGTTATTCCCCACAGGATGTCAAACACCCCCTTCGATGGCCTATGAGTGTTGACAAAATGGACCTCGAGCTCTAGATCAGAACTCATGGACTGAGGCTTGATCGTTATTCCCCACAGGATGTCAAACACCCCCTTCGATGGCCTATGAGTGTTGACAAAATGGACCTCGAGCTCTAGATCAGAACTCATGGACTGAGCACCTGGACAGACACAGCCACCTGGAAATTCTTGCCTGTGTCTTGTGCTTAATTAACTAAGAGGCCGTAGGCCAGAGAATGTGTCCATAGTGGGAAGTTATCCAAGTAACCAACAATGAGCTTAAAGATCCGTTTTTATCTCCAACTCTTGTAACCAATTCCTAGTTACCCTTTTTTGATACTCTCTTCCCCACCCTGATATTTTCCTTGCATGTTGGGCTCCTTTCCTTAGAAATGAGTCATCTCATGCTTACAAATCATTCCATCCATTTTAATAAACAGATATGGCTATGCCTAAAGGAGCAAGAATTCCAGCATTCTGGGTAGGAGCTAAGGTGGTCTCAGATGGGTAGAAACCCCTGGCTTCCAGCAGAAGCAATAATTGAAAAATCTCTAGAGAAAAGCATTCCCTTTAAAGTGCCTGCACTGGTAGAGTTCTGTGATGTGAAATAGAAAAGCACAGAGAAAGGACACCTTTATCTTCAATAACTAGCCTGCTAGGAAGTGACTTAAAATTCTGTTTCAGGATGCACATAAAATTTTACTAATTGAGTTTGTTTGTGTTTGGCAAATATTTTGGTTCCATGGTTATTTTAACATTAATTTTTTCATGGTTTTAAAAGCAGTATGTGTTCATGGTAGGAAATTTGGGGAAATAAAAAAGCACAAAGAGTAATTATTACTCTTAATGTTTGCCAATTCTAACCCTATGTACATGATTTTTATCCTTCCACAACTTCCAAGAAACCACAATAGAGCATAAGTATTTAATAGGACACTTGGTGGCAGATCACTCTTAGATCAAATAAATATGTAAAATATTTACTATTATAAATTAATGCATGATTAAAAATGCAATACATTATTAAAAAATCACCAAAGACATGAAGAAACTAGTGACCACAAGTGGGAGTCAGCAGAAACAACAAACAACAGATGAAGAGTCCTAATAATTTCAGATATTGTAAATATCAGATACAGAGTATAAAATAAATATATATAAAATTCTAGATATAAAAGACAAAATCACAAAAATGAGTGAGTACCAACAGATTGATAAAAATGACAAAACTAATTTGAAAAATAACATTAGAGACGTTTTAGAATTTAAAAGTAGAAATGTTAAGGATATTCCAAATTGGTGAACACGTCTGTGTGCCAGGAGAGTGGCCCACTCCAACCCCATGAGAACAGAAGTTCCTGTGCTGGGGACCCTTTTGAACCTCACCTTATGTACCTTTTCATCTGGCTGTTCCTTTGTATCTTTTATAACAAACTAGTAAACATTGAAAAAAATAGAAATGTTGAAGTTAAAAATCAATGGATAATCTCTCATAAATTACTGGTAAGAGTGGAAATTGGTACAACCCTTTAGATAACATTTTGGCATTATCTTTTAAAGCTGAAGATATTCATACCCTATGACCCAGCAATTTGAATTTCACTCCTAGATATGTACCATAGAGCTGCACTTTCCAATATGGTAGCCACTAGATAGTTGTGACTATTGAGTACTTGAAATGTAACTATACAGAAATGGAAATGAATAAACCAGAGCTACAAGCAACAATTTCAATGAATCTTAACATAAAACACAAAGACAAAAAAGAGCTAAGATACAATATATCAATGCAATTCCATTTGTTCAAACAGACAAACTAAACTGTATTGTTTAAATCTATATACATAGGTGGTAAAGTATAAAACAAGGGAATGATTATCATAAAAGTCTA